AATTTTCCCTATTAGTACTGCTTTAACTGCATTCCATAAGTTTTGATATGTTGTGTTTTCATTTTCATTTGTCACAAGATACTTTCTGATTTCCCTTTTGATTTCTTTTATGACCCATTGGTTGTTTTAAGAGTGTGGTATTTAGGGGCACCTGGGTGGCTTAGTTGGTTAAGTCTGCCTTTGGCTCAGGTCATGATCTCAGAGTCCTGGGATTAAGCCCTACATTGGGCTCCCTGCTCAACAGGGGAGTCTGTTTCTCTCTTTGCCCCATGCTTTCTCTCTTGTTCTATCTCACATAGATCCTTTCACTCTTGTTCTATCGCAAATAAATAAAATGTTTTTTTTTTAAAGTGTGGTGTTTAGTTTCCAGGTATTTGGGAATTTTCTAGTTTTCCTTTTCCTGTTAACTTCTAGTTTCATTCCATTGTGATCAGAATATATCCTTTGTGATCTTTTAAAATATATATCCTTGATGAACAAGGATGCAAAAATTCTCACCAAAATACTAGCCAATAGGGTCCAACAGTACATTAAAAGGATTATTCACCACAACTAAGAGAGATTTATTCCTGGGCTGCAAGGTTGGTTCAATATCCACAAATCAATCAATGTGATACAATACATTAATAAAGAACAAGTACCATATGATACTCTCAATAGATGCTGAAAAGCATTTGACAAAGTACAGCATCCTTTCATGATCAAAGCTCTTCAAACTGTAGGGATAGAGGATACATACCTCAATATCATAAAAGCCATCTATGAAAAACCCACAGTGAATATTATTCTCAATGGGGAAAAACTGAGAGCTTTTCCCCTAAGGTCAGGATCATAGCAGGGATATCCACTATCACCACTGCTATTCAACATAGTACTAGAAGTCCTAGCCTCAGTAATCAGACGACAAAAAGAAATTAAAGACATCTGAATCAGCAAAGAAGTCAAACTTTCACTCTTTGCAGATGATTTGATACTTTATTCTACATAAAACCCAAAAGACTCCACTCCAAAACTGCTAGAACGCATACAGGAATTCAGTAAAGTGTCAGGATATAAAATCAATGCACAGAACTCAGTTGCATTTCTATACACCAACAAGACAGAAGAAGGAAAGTAAGGAGTCGATCCCATTTACAAATGCACCCAAAACCTTAAGACACCTAGGAATAAACCTAACCAAAGAGGCAAAGAATCTATACTCAGGAAACTGTCAAGTACGCATGAAAGAAATTGAGGAAGACACAAAGAAATGGAAAAATGTTCCATGATCACAGATTGGAAGAACAAATATTGTGAAAATGTCTATGCTACCTAAAGCAATCTACACATTTAACACAATCCCTATCAAAATACCATCAATTTTTTTTTTCAAAGAAATGGAGCAAATAATGCTAAAATTTATATGGAACCAGAAAAGACCCCAAATAGCCAGAGGAATGTTGAAAAAGAAAAACAAGTTGGTGGTATCACAATTCCAGTCTTCAAGCCCTATTACAAAGCTGTAATCAAGACAGTATGGTACTGGCACAAAAATAGACACATAGATCAATGGAGCAGAATAGAGAGACCAGAAATAGACCCTCAACTCTATGGTCAACTAATCTTCGACAAAGCAGGAAAGAATGCCCAATGGAAAAAAGACAGTCTCTTCAACAAATGGTGTTGGGAAAATTGGACAGTCACATGCAGAAGAATGAAACTGGACCATTTCCTTACACCATACTCAAAAATAGATTCAAAATGGATGAAAGACCTCATTGTGAGACAGGAATTCATCAAAATCCTTGAGGAGAACACAGCCAGCAATCTCTTCGACCCCAGCTACAGCAACTTCTTCCTAGAAACATCGCCAAAGGCAAGGGAAGCAAGAGCAAAAATGAACTGTTAGGACTTCATCAAGATCAAAACCTTTTGCACAGCAAAGGAAAGAGTCAAAAAAACCAAAAGACAACTGACAGAATGGGAGAAGATACTCACAAATGACATATCAGATAAAGGGCTAGTATCCAAAATCTATAAAGAACTTATCAAACTCAACACCCAAAGAACAAATAATCCAATCAAGAAATGGGCAGAAAATATGAATAGACATTTCTGCAAAGAAGACATCCAAGTGGCCAACAGACACATGAAAAAGTGCTCCACATCACTCAGTATCAGGGAAATACAAATCAAAACCACAATGAGATACCACCTCACACCAGTCAGAATGGCTAAAATTAACAAGTCAGGAAATGACAGATGCTGGCGAGGATGTGGAGAAAGGGGAACCCTCCTACACTGTTGGTGAAATGCAAGCTGGAGCAGCCACTCTGGAAAACAGCATGGAGGTTCCTCAAAAAGTTGAAAATAGAGCTACCCAATGACCCAGCAATGGCACTACTGGGTATTTAACCTAAATACACAAATGTAGTGATCCGAAGGGACATGTGCACCCAAATGTTTATAGGAGCAATGTCCACAATCTCCAAACTGTGGAAAGAGCCTAGGTGTTCAACAACAGATAAATGGATAAAGAATATGTGATATATATATATACCATGGAATACTATGTAGCCATAAAAAGAAATGAAATCTTGGGGCTCCTGGGTGGCTCAGTGGGTTAAAGCCTCTGCCTTCAGCTCAGGTCACGATCCCAGGGTCCTAGGATTGAGCCCTGCATCAGCCTCTCTGCTCAGCAGGGATCCTGCTTCCCTTCCTCTCTCTCTCTGCCTGCCTCTCTGCCTACTTGTGATCTCTGTCTGTCAAATAAATAAATAAAATCTTTAAAAAAAAAATGAAATTTTGTCATTTGCAACAACATGGATGGAACTAGAGGGTATTGTGCTGAGTGAAATAAGTCAATCAGAGGAGGACAGTTATCATATGATCTCCAATGTAAGGAATTTGAGAGGCAGGGCAGGGGGCTGTTGGGGGTAGGGAAGGAAAAAATGAAACAAGATGAGAGGGAGACAAACCATAAGGGACTCTTAATCTCATGAAACAAACAGTTGCTGGGGAGTGGAGAGGTAGGGATAGGGTGGCTGGGTTATTGACATTGGGGAGGGCATGTGCTATGGTGAGTGCTATGAAATGTGTAAGCCTGATGATTCACAGACCTGTACCCCTGGAGCAAATAATACATTATATGTTAATTAAAAATATATATTGAGACATGTTCTGTAGCCTGTCATTGGGGTACAGATGGCCCTTCTTTTCACTACATCTGTATCTTTGGGGTATATACCCAGTAGTGCAATGAGCATGGAATGTTTTTCCATTTCTTTGTGTCCTCCTCAATTTCTTCCGTAAGTGTTCTATAGTTTTCAGAGTATAAGTCCTTTCTTCTTTGGTTAGGTTTATTCCCAAGTATCTTACAGTTTTTGGTGCAATTAGAATTTGGATCAAGTCCTTAATTTCTCTTTGTTCTGACTCATAGTTAGTCTATAGAAATGCAGCTGATTTGCTGAATTCCTGTATGAGTTATAGCAATTCTTGATTAGAGTTTTTTGGGTTTTCCACATAGAATATCATGTCATCTGCAAAGAGTGAGAGTTTGACTTCTTTGCCAATTTGGATGTCTTTTATTTCTTTTTATTTATGATTGCTGAGGCTAGGACTTCTAGCACTATGTTGAACAACAGTAATTGAGAGTGGGCATCACTGTCGTGTTCCTGACTTCAGGGGAAAAGCTCTCAGTTTTTCCCCATTGAGAATAATAATCTCTGTGGGCTTTTCATAAGTGGCTTTTATGATATTGAGGTATATTCCCTTTATCACTGTGGAGAGTTTTAAGAAAGGATGCTGTATTTTGTTTTGTTTTTTGTTTTTTAAAGATCTTATTTATTTATTTGACAGACAGAGATCACAAGTAGGCAGAGCAGCAGTCAGAGAGAGAGGAAGGGGAGCAGGCTCCCTGCTGAGCATGGAGCCCGATGCGGGGCTCTTTCCCAGGACCCTGGAATCATGACCTGAGCCGAAGGCAGAGGCTTTAACCCACTGAGCCACCCAGGTGCCCCAGGATGCTGTATTTTATCAAATGCTTTTTCTGCATCAATTGAGAGGATTGTATGGGTCTTATCCTTTCTTTTATTGTGATGTATCTTGATTGATTTGCAGATGTTGAACCACCTTGCAGCCCAAGAATAAATCCTACTTGGTTGTGGTGAACAGTCTTTTTCTTTCTTTCTTTCTTTTTTTTTTTTTTTTTGTGAAGCGTTTTCTTAATGTATTGTTAGATCTTTTTTTAAATAATTTTTATTATTTTTTTTATAAACATATAATGTATTATTAGCCCCAGGGGTGCAGGTCTGTGAATCGCCAGGTTTACACACTTCATAGCACTCACCATAGCACATACCCTCCCCAATGTCTATAACCCCACCCACCACTCTCTCCCTGTATTATTGGATCTTAATGTATTGTTGGATCCTATTGCCTAGTATTTTGGTGAGAATTTTTGCATCCATGTTTGTCAGGGGTGTTGGTCTGTTATGTGCCTTTCTTTCAACATGGCACTTTCCTGTCTCCTTACCTCTAGGAGTGTCCACTCCATTTGCCGCAACTAACAGAGTCAGGGATGGACACAGGTGGACATTCCCCAAGGGTAGGGGATCCCTGAGAATCAGGTACCCCACTTCTTGTCCTTTGAAGCCTCGGGTTGTCAGCATGTAATCCTTAATAGCCATATTCCACTGTTTTCTCTCCAAACTTTGAAGCATGGTGTCTTACATCAGAAGCTGCTAAGAAAGCCCAAACAAATGCATTCATTTGGGGGCACAGGGGGCATTGAACAAAGACAGTGGTGCTGAGTTAGTTCTTTTGATATTCAGGTAGGATTTTCATAACCTTGGAAAGCACACAGGCATTATTTCCTCCTTGGGAGTATAGTACCTGAGTGAAAAGAGACATCTGTGAAACTTACAGGAAAATGAGCTGCGTTTCTCATGTGGCTGGGGCTCTCTGTAGTTCCCAAGGGATGAAACTTTAAGCCTTCTAAGAATTGAATATCTATAGAAGAGGAAGTGAGAATTGAAAAAATTGATTGGACATGTGTTTGTGTACCTTGAAAAGTTTGTGTGTGTACCTTGAAAAGCCATTTACATGTGGCTTTTTAAAGTGGCGACAAGTCCAAAAACCACTAGTCTAGAACATTAGTTGCTGGGGACCAGGCTCAGGCCTTAGAGCCAGCAGTTGTGGGTCTGTGCCCCAAGTCAGACCCTCCAGGACCTGCTGCCTCGAACAGGTTTTCTAGTCTTTGTAAACTCCAGTTTCTGTTCTCTTCTGTAAATTGGGCTCATACCTCTGGAAGCACTTTGAGAACTGAATGAAACTTCTGATTCAGTTTCTGGCTGAACGTCTTGTCCCTAAGCACAGGGACTTCTGACTTGCCCCAGAAGCTTGTATCCTAACATGTCTTTCCTGCCTTCCCTTCAGCAGCTGCAGCACAGTCCTCAGCAGACAGAGAAATGAGAAAAATACCAAATAATGGGAACCTGAAGATGACAAAAGTGGCGTACCCCCTGGGGCTGTTCATATGCCTGTTCATCTATGTCGCCTACATCAAGTGGCACTGGGCCTCTGCCACCCAGGCCTTCTTCAGCATCACTGAGGTGGCATCAGGGGCCCGGAGGGGCCACCAGGCTCACAGTGCCCCAGGGACAGCTGCACATGGTCATGAAGTTTTCTACGGCATCATGTTTGATGCAGGAAGCACTGGAACCCGCGTCCACATCTTCCAGTTCAGCCGGCAGCCTGGAGGTATGCTGGGTAGAGTGCCTTGGCTTCTCACTGCTAGGATCTCTTCACTCACAGCAGAGCTCTTGGGATCTCTTTCACTTACAACACAGTGGTTAGGCTGGATGCCCTGCCTCGGACTCACCTGGAAGCTTGTCAAAAATATAGGTTCCCAGAGAGGCTGGTTCAGGTGTGGGTTGGGGCCCAGGAATCTAAGTTTCCCAGGACTCCTTGACTGTCCTTACTCACAGTAGCTTCTGGTGACCACCTGAAGGCATCTGAGATCCCTGAGGGTGTTAGGTGGCTAATCTAAGGCTGTCTAATCCCAGCATTCAGCAGCAGGTCAGGTGGCCAGGATTGTGACTTAGGCCAGAAGCTGCATTGAGAGAGTTTAAGGCAGGAAGTTGCCCCTGACTTGGGCTAGTATGAGGCAGAGTCTGGGAAAGTCATGAACTAGCCAAGGACCTGGGACCTAGACTGACACAGTGCAGCCCAGTGGGTCCAGTCAGAGTGACAGATGAGAGTGGCCTCAGCAGTGAGAAGGGAGCTGGAGCCTGAGCCTCGTTATAACCTGAGTTATAAACTGCGGATGGGGGTCCACAGGCTTCCAGCACTAGGGTGGAGGGAGTTTATGTGTGTTCTCCCCGTAGCTGCTTCTGTGGGGAGATCCAGTCCACTGCGCAGCTCTGTACTCTGTCCTTTCTCCCTTTGATCTCCTTTCCTGTCACCTCTTGTACCCTCCTGCTCTGAGAGTCACCCTCCAGCTTCTAGCCTGTGAGTGTTTTCCCCCTGACTGCTCAGTAGGTCCATCGGCCACAGCTGATTCTTTGCTGACCCTCAATACCTTTTGAGTAGACACTGTTCTGGGCATTTAACAGAGCTGGTGGCAACAGACACTGTTAGTAGCTCTCTCCAGAGCTGTCATGTTTTACTTTTCATCTGCTTTATCTTTTAACTCAGTTCAGTAGTTCAGTTTTTATCTGCCAGACCTACCTACCTCCAAAAATGGTTTTTAAGCTTTTAAGACAACTTGTCAGCATGTAATCATTTAATAGCCATAGTCCAGTGTTTATCTCTAAAGAGACCTCCTTTCAAAAAGTTCTGTCCCTGATTTTTCCTCCTGGGTCTTCATGTCCAAATTCAGGCCAACATCCCTTGGCCACCAATGTGCCTCTAAACAGTCCCCTGCTGTATGCCCATGAATCCAGGGCCTTCATAATTTAGGACAACTGTTTTTTTAAACAAAGAGAAAAAAAAAATGTTCTTTAGAACCTACTATACCCATCCCAGGATAGAAAAATAAATTTTATATTTGCAGTTTAGAATCATCTGCCCTGCTCCTCAGTCAATGTAACAAGAATTAACCATATTAAAATTCAGCAGTTTAGGTGGATATAGTTTTATATGTAAATCATACCTCAGTAAAGTTGTTTTTTTTTTTTAAAGTTCTGACCAAAGCATCAGGTAGAATGCTTATTTTGTTTATCTGGGCTAAAGAGGCAGAGTTCCGGTCACTTTGGAATTGGTCTGATTTCAGACATTTGCCTTTAAAAAGGGTGGCTAGCCATAATTGTATATATTCATATATTCATATATATGTTCACACTTGTACTTTTTTTTTTAAACATGTTTTCCTCTTAGAAACTCCCACTTTGACCCATGAGACATTCAAAGCACTGAAGCCAGGTCTTTCTGCTTATGCTGATGATGTTGAAAAGGTAATGATTTTCTCTCAGGTCTATTTGTTCTTCAAATTTGTTTTCCAACTCGGCAGTTTGTTAAAGCCAACTCCCTTTCTCTTGAGTGCGTTGATCTTTGCAGAGGAAAGCATCTCTGATGGTGCTGCCCTGAAACATTTCATGCTATTTAGGATAGTCAGATGGGGGAAACTGGTACAGTGCATGGGGCCAAAGGAGGACCACTCTCCCTACCCCACCACCTTCCCCCACACTCCAGCTTCCCGGGCCCTTCCCCCAACCACCAGGCATGCCACCCAGAAGTCTTGGTGCAGTTCAAAAACACAAAGGCTACAAACTGACAAAAAAGCAGTGTTTGAGGGTTTAATTGTTTTTGTTCCAGTTCCTTCAACTGAAGATGACAAAAGTTGACAAAAAAATTGAACTTAAAATGTGTTTTGCAAAAATCCACAAAACCAAATAAAAGTGATTTACTTAAACTGTCCAATAATGATTTTTGTAAATTTGTAACTTTTATACTTCTCAACTCCTTAAAGCTTACAGCTGCACTAATACAGGACACCTGTATTTCTGCTAAGGCGCTGATGAAATGGACTGGGTAGTAACATAGCTACAAGTTCCTTTTGAGTCAAGTATGTCTTCAAAGCTAATACATCAGGGCGCCTGAGTGGCTCAATTCAAGGCATGATCCTGGGGTCCTGGGTTCGAGCCTCATGTCAGGCTCCCCACTCAGTGGGGAGCCTACTTCTCCCTCTGCCTCTACCCCTGCTTGTACTCTGTCTCTTTTTCAAATAAATAAATAAAATCTTAAAAAAAAAAGGTAATACACATTCTTGCGCACAGGTCCATCTTGATCTTAGACTGTAAATTCATAGGCCTGCTTTCCTGTGGCTTGGTTAAAAAACAAGTTGAAAACAAAAATCAAAATGAGTGATGTTAGAGTAACTATAATATTACACATGAGTAAATTAGGTAGCTTTAGAATAAACTCATAAGATTTTTAAAACCTTAGTAGTTTTAGCCGATGCATATTCAAGTGGGACATATTTCACAGCTTCACAGGGCAGGTGGTGAGAGTGCTCCTTCTGCTCCAGTCTTCCCTAGGAGGGCTGTTGATCCTGGTTTCTTTTTTTTTTTTTAAAGATTTTATTTATTTATTTGACAGAGAAGAGCGATCACAAGTAGGCAGAGACGCAGGCAGAGAGAGAGCGGGAAGGCTCCCTGCTGAGCAGAGAGCCCGATGCGGGACTCGATTCCAGGACCCTGAGATCATGACCTGAGCTGAAAACAGAGGCTTAACCCACTGAGCCACCCAGGTGCCCCCTGGTTTCTTATGTCTTTCAAGGGCTTGTTGACATACCTATGAGCAAATTCATCTGTATTCTTCCCCTTCCCCTGTTTATTTCACATAAACAATAGAATGGCATTCATGTTGTCACGTACTTACTTGTGTCACTCAACAGTATAACATAGAGAGTATTCACTATCAGAATGAGAATAGCTTCCTTTATTTTTCTGGCAATGATATTGCAGTGTGTACGGGCACATTGAATTTATGGGAACCAGTCCTCCCCTGAAGGACATTCAGGTAATGTCTGAGAAAGGCTACAGTTTGTCATCTTATTGAACTTCATTACCCACATATATAAGGGCATCCATCTCAGATGAATTCATAGAATGAGATTTCTGAGTAAGAGGAATGTACGTTTTCTCCTTGGGCAGGCATTGCCAAATTGTTCCCTCAGCTTTGTAGCTGTTGGTAATATCCAGAAGTACTTTACCAAAGTTGTTTTCCCACCTTTGCACTGACACAGGGCCTTAGTCAATTTTGGATCTCAAGCATTCTGGCAGGTATAGATGATTCCTTTGGGGTTTTCAGCACCATGAGGAACCCCAGGATTCATTCATGATGTCCAGAGGAGACACAGCTCATCTGAGATTGTCTGATGAGGGTTGGTAATGGGGCTAGGCAGGGTTTTGGTTGCCAGAGTTTAGAATAGCAGAACCCTCTTATGTGTCTTCACCCCATCATGCACCACTGCCAGGAGTGTTGCTCTGTACTTGCCTGGTCCCTATACCCCTCACACTCACGAGCACCACTTGAGTCGTTTTCTGCCAATTTGGAAAGTTAGAAGAGGATGTGTTTGTAAGTTAATAAAGCCAAAAGGGTTGGGGAGCATCTGTGACCCTGTATGCTGAGCTTTGACAGACCCTACTTTCACCACATTCACAGAGCACTTCAGGAATTCAGGAATTACTGGATGTTGCTAAACAGGATGTTCCTTTTGACTTCTGGAAGGCCACCCCCTTGGTCCTCAAGGCCACAGCTGGTTTACGTCTGTTACCAGGAGAAAAGGCTCAAAAGTTACTGCAAAAGGTGATTTTACCCATTTCCCCTGGGCGGGGGGGGCGGGGTGGTGGTGGATAGCTTAGGATAACTGAAAACACCAGATACTCAGCCAGTGTCTGAGCAGTCAAATGGGCTATGTAGAAGCTTCCTGAAGAGGAAAACACATCAAAATGTTAACAGCATCACCTTTAGCTGTTCCTGTTTTCTATAATGAACCTTGTTATGTAATAACAGTAACTTTAAGTATGTGTTGAGGCCTTTTGAAGGGCTTCCCCCTATGCAGAGACTAGATCCTTGTAGAGGGCTATAGAAGCCTGAGTTCCTGACGCTTCATTTCCAGGCTGCATGTTCTCATGGTAACTGCCAATTCTTCTCTTGGTCTGATCCACAGATGTAACTGCTGAGGAGGCCTTTACCCTTCCCCTGCCAGGATCTGACTCTCACATGGCCCAGATTGCCACCAAGCCTAGCAGCAGCCCTGCAAAAAAACTATGAACCCTGTTTCTTACAAGTGCCTGGATAGTTCTTGTTGTCAGGCCCATTAGGGAAACTGCTTTTCATCATTAGTACTGTTTCTAAACTATGCAGCTGCTAAATGATGAAATATTGTACATTGGTCAAGGTCCCTTGTAAAAGTTACCTTTACATGCTCAAGTCTGATTGTAGGTCACAGGTGTAGTTGGGATGTGCAGATGTACTGAAGTTTCTGTGTTTCAGTACTTGCTAAAAAATGGGGAAGGAAGGGCACCCAAATGCTGCTGCTCACTGCCTTTACCTCCTGGCTACAGGGCCATCTCCTGGGTCCCAGGCTGAGCTCTGCTTTGAGGAGCTTCTGGAGTCTCATCTCCAGTCTAAAGCAGGGCACTGTTTGGGGGCCTAGCAGGCTCAAGGTGCCCCTGAGCTCTTCTAGCCCAGAGTGGCTTTAAAACACGGTTCTTCAAACACACATTGGAGAGGATGTGGAGAAAGGGGAACCCCTTACACTTTTGGTGGGAATGAAAGTTGGTGCAGCCACTTTGGAAAACTGTGGAGATTCCTCAAAATATTAAAAATAGAGTTATCCGGGACGCCTGGGTGGCTCAGTGGGTTTAAGCCTCTGCCTTCAGCTCAGGTCATGGTCCCAGAGTCATGAGATCGAGCCCCGCATCGGGCTCTCTGCTTGGCAGGGAGCCTGCTTCCTCCTTTTTCTCTGCCTGCCTCTCTGCTTACTCGTGATCTTTGTCTGTCAAATAAATAAATAAAATCTTAAAAAAAAAAAAAATAGAGTTATCCTATGACCTGGCACTTGCACTACTGGGTATTTACCCCAAAGATATAGATGTAGTGAAAAGAAGGGCCATATGCACCCCAATGTTCATAGCAACCATGTCCACAATAGCCAAACTGTGGAAAGAACTGAGATGCCCTTCAACAGACGATGGATAAAGAAGCTCTGGTCCATATATACAATGGAATATTACTCAGCCATCAGAAAGGGTGAATACCTAACTTTTTTTTTTTTTAAGATTTTATTTACTTATTTGACAGAGAGAGAGATCACAAGTAGGCAGAGAGAGAGGGAGAAGCAGGCTCCCTGCTGAACAGAGAGCCCAATGTGGGGCTTGATCCCAGGACCCTGAGATCATGACCCGAGCCGAAGGCAGAGGCTTAACCCACTGAGCCACCCAGGCGCCCCAATACCTAACTTTTGTATCAACATGGACGGGACTGGGGGAGATTATGCTGAGTGAAATAAGTCAAGCAGAGAGAGTCACTTATCATATGGTTTCACTTACTTATAGAGCATAAGGAGTAACATGGAGGACATTAGGAGAAGGAGAGGAAAAGTGAAGGGGGAAAATCGGAGGGGGAGATGAACCACGAGAGACTATGGACTCTGAGAAACAGAGTTTTAGAGGGAAGCGGGGGGGGTTTGGGTGAGCCTGATGGTGGGTATTTTGGAGGGCACATATTGCATGGAGCACTGGGTGTGGTGCATAAACAATGAATCTTGGAACACTGCTAATGATATATGGTGACTAACATAACACAATAAAAAATTTTAAAAAGAAGGCTTTCTTCAGGGTAGCATCTGCCTCCACCAGTCCAGGCAGTAGATAAGGATATCACTTGCAGAGGATTCGAGAAATTTAAAATAAAACATGAATTTTATTACTTCACAGCACCAGCTGACACCCTCTGCTGTTTTATCATGACCTGCTGAAAGCACAGTGTAATTGGGGAACTTTGAGTTTTGACTGTAAAGGATAACAGCGTGTCTCCCTTTACATTCAGGTGAAAGAAGTGTTTAAGGCATCGCCCTTCCTTGTAGGAGATGACTGTGTTTCCATCATGAACGGAACGGATGAAGGTAGGGTCTCCAGAAGCTCTCTGTGCAACGAGGCTGTCCTGGGAGACAGGCTGTGTGCAGGGCTGCTGTGGGAGCTTTCTCCTCAGTCAGACATGGGCAAGCAAGAACCAAAGTGACAGTCCCATTATATTCACAGTGTCACTGTCTTCAGAGGATCTCTGGGGGGCCAGTATTAGAGACAGATTCTCATCTCAACGAGCTCCAAACCTGGCACAGATGAAGTTTCTGAAAACAAATCATCTTTCAGCTTTAAGAGCATTTAGAGAGAATCCCCAGATTTTAGAAGTTTGCTGTTGTATTGTTAATGCTGAGATAGAGACCATCAGGTTCTTCACCAGCTCCTGATTTTAAAATATGACCAGGGGAGAGGGAGAGCAAAATTCTCTTTCCAAAAAAGAGGAAGTTCATGATAAAGAATAGGAGGGAGACATGTGACATTTGGCCGAGTATTGTAGTGTTGTAGTATGGCATCTTCTGGAATAGTCTGCCAGAAGCTGCTGGGTGACTTGATGACCACTGCCTCTTCCTGTAGCTGATCTGGAGCCTGAGGAGGGAGGGACGCTCACTTTGAGCTCCTGGAATCTCAAAGTGGTCATTTGAGTGCATGTGTTGTTTACAGCCATCTCAGGTAATTCACATGCTGTCTATGACCCTCTCTTGTAGGCGTTTCAGCGTGGATCACTGTCAACTTCCTAACAGGTACATTCTTCCTCCCTCTCCCTGAAGCAGACAGTCCACAGATGCCATTCTTGATGGCAGAGGTCTTATTTCTACTCTTTCAAATAACCCCTTGGGTTTCTGAAGTGGTACTGGCTCAAAGTAGGGCATTAGGTTGGGTGAGGGCTCATCAGGGCGAATATCAAGCTTCCAGATAAAAATGCTGGGGAAAGGAGCTTCTTTGTTGGCCTGGATTTCTACAGCATAGCTCCTGCTTCCTGTATCCACTTCAGCCAGGGGCCCTGTCCTCTCATTTCTAAGGGAAGTCATGAAGAAAACCTGTCATACTTTCAGTTATTCAATGTGGTGGGAATGCTCTTCACCTTAAAATTGAATTCCTCTTCTCTAGGTAGAAGAGGGAACAGAAACATCTGTTCTTGGAACAAGATGACAAGGAATCATTTTTCTTAGATTATTCTCAGTATAGGTTGCTTTTGTACCTTTGTTGTAATTATGGCAAAGACCAGTGTGTGTGAGATGCATGTATGAAAAAGAAAGAAGCTTTGTAACAGAATCTGCCCCTTGGGGATGGAAAGCCATGTTAAGGGACACATTAGGAGCACAGTGCTGGGGGAAGGCATGCCTCTGGGCATGAAGGGACGTGATGAAAGTCAGTGTCCCTGGGGGTGAGCAGTAGATAAGGCAGGCACTGATTGATTCTCTGCTGAAGGTCAGTATTGTTTTACATTGTTGAAATTAAAGCCACAGCTGGCAGAGCCACATTCATGTCCGTCCCTTCAACATGTGCATCCTTCCATGGAGATTGTTAAATACCCACAGTTGCTTGTCTATTTTTCTTTCCACTGTGGGGCTTGGCTCTCAAACTAGCTGTACATTTTCACCTGTTCTCATCTATTTACTATGTGACAGTGCTGTGTTGGTTTCTACTCTCTCTGCTCCAGGCAGTTTGAAAACCCCAGGAAGGAGCAGTGTGGGCATGCTGGATTTAGGCGGAGGATCCACTCAGATCACCTTCCTTCCGAGAGTTGAGGTAACCAGCCCTTGCTGCTCCACTGTGGCCCCCACCCTCCAAAAGCCACCTGCCACCAGGAGTTGCAGTCCCTCAGGGAAGGCCCGTTAACCTGGTGCCTCTGGGCCTGTGCATTCAGTTTCTGTCCTGAAGGCCAGATTCATTCACAATTAATGCTCCTTCACTTGATTTTAATTCTGCCTGGGGGGAGAAATGGAAAGTTGATCTTCAGTGCGATGATAAATTAGGTACTACCTAGAACCCTCAGGGCCAGCCACAGGATGTGCGATGTCCCCTTTTCCCCCAGGACAAGCCAGAGAGGGGGCCATTACTTAGTCTACTCCTAGAAGGGGAGAGAGCCTCAAGCCCTGTGGGATGAGATATTGTAAAGGAGATGAAAATGCTTCTAGTCTGGACCGTCTGCTGCTCTAACCACAGTGCATTCCTCACCCACCACTTTCTTATTATTATTTTTAGTTTACAGTGGAAGCGTACTTAAATTTATTCACAGTTGTCTTGGTTGGGCCATATTTGTCAGAATGGTAAATGTAGTTAGGAGGAAGAAAAACATTTTTTCATTTTGGTCATTTTATTTTTCATTGCTTGCTCAAATTCTTTCACAACATGTGACTTAATGAAAAACTAATTTAATTGAATACCTCTATGAATACCCTGGTATTTTCAAAAGAAAGACCAGCAGGAAGGATAATAACCTTCATGTTCTTCAGGACACCCTCCAGACCTCCCCGCCTGGCTACCTGACGTCACTCCAGATGTTTAATCGGACCTACAAGCTCTATTCTTACAGGTTTGTTTGGGAGTTGGGGGAAGAGGGAGAGGCTGCCCATCCAGGATTGTTGCTCAGCCAGCCCTGTGCTGTGACCCAGAGCACCTGGAAACCCCACTGCTGGAGGCTCTCCCTCTAGCACTTCCTCCTCCCTTGCTGTTCCTTTCTCCTCCTGCCTTCTCCCCACTTCATTTTTTAGTTTGCCTACAGTAAAATCCCATTTCTTTTTTTGTGTTTTTATTTTGTTCTGCTTTGGAGGAGGTTTCTAAAGGTGGGGACGAGCCCATGGATTGTGCAGGAATTTTCTTGGCCATTTGTTTACCACATGGCACCTTCAGTCGATTCTTGGTGTAAAGCATATGCACTCCATAAAGATCAGGACACATTTGTGCCATGTGTCATTCACTGGCATCTGAGGCTCCTTGGCAAGCTCCTGTTAAGTAACAGGCTTTCATTTGTTGAGCTGAATGCCCTAACCTCCATAAAGAAAGGCTTCTAGAAGTGGAAAGTCTGCTGCCTCGCCACAGGTTTCCTCCCTTTCCCACTTGTTTTGGATTTAGGACAGGTGAACTGGAAGCAGGAATGAAGATGTTACCCAGCGGTTGCTGTGGCAGGCCAGCCCCTCACCCAGAATTTTCTTTCCACAGCTACCTGGGGCTCGGTTTGATGTCGGCACGGCTGGCGATTCTGGGTGGCATAGAGGGGAAACCTGGTGAGTGGAATGAGAGTTGAGAGTCTTCCTTGCTCAGCAGGCTTGAGGAACCCTTCAGGAAATGTGCCCCTGCCCTCCATCATCACAGCAGCCCACTAGACCCTGCTCCGCAGGACTAAGGGAGCCCAGGAGGGATGTGTGGGGAAGAATGCACCCCACATCGTGTCATTGGGCACTATGAGAGTGACAAATGGTTATGTGTTTTACTTGTGTATGTATGCTGTTATTTTTTAAAAGGAAGAGATGCTGGAGAATTCATTTCTCAAACACTGAGCTGTGGGCATTTAGCCACCAAGTAACTGTTTAGTCATCCCCTGTGTTTGGAGTGGACTGGTTTTTAAGCATCTGAAGGGAATTTATTCTTTATGACAGTACAGCAGGGACCATGAGCAGATGATTCTGGGGCTGCTGCTGTGGAGCTGGGGAGACTTTTCCCCTCATTCACAGAGATTCTAGTGTTATGAGGATGTCTCTCCATCTTCTCTTGCTCTGTGAAGGATCATTAAACATGAACTTGGCCCTTCCTACGGACATGGCATTGAACTGGAGATGGAGTCTATGTCAGGTCAGGATGTTTCCTCCCAGGCCTTCTGTGATCATTCCTGACTGGCCTGGCTGAGGAGAAACCTGGTGCTGGCCAACAGGTACATGAACTCTAAGGAGGTCTTAGGGGATCACTGTGTCCCAGTTTGGGAATAGGGGAACGTTGCTCCAAGGGTGATATGGCCTGTCTTTCCTGACGACATCGATCAGGGCCTGAAGGCCTTGACACATGCCTCTGGTCCAGATGTGTGCCTATGGGCCCATACATATGCTCCAGCCACATGCCTCTCCTTGCCCCACACCTGCTCCCCTCCACAGGCCTACCACTTCTCTGCACTTCTTCCAAGGGCCTGGTTGTTCTGATTGGAATTTTTGTTTTTCACATACATCTTATTTCAAATCTTGGTGTTTAACCTCATTATGGTATTCCTCTATTGCAAACCAAAAACATTTCCATGTCTCAGAAACACTTGTAACTTTCATTTTGTGGCCAGATAACACCTATTTAGCCGGCAGGAAGAAGGCAGTTACCCATTTGCTTGTTGAGGGCTAACCTTAAACCCATCAACTACATGAAGTGCCTACCTGGGACACATAGGGCTGTGACACCTGCCAAGAAAGGTGTGGACAGCTCCTTGCCCCAGAGGAAGCATCTCCCTATTGTATTATCTGTTGTTGCACAAGTACACACTAAAATGAGTGGTCAAAACTAGCAAATAGTGATCATTTTATTACAGTATCTTGTGATTGCACAGGCTTGAGCTGGGAAGTGCCTCTCCTGGGATCCCTAGAGTCTTGTATGGTGACAGCTGGGGTGGCTGCATGAATGTCTTACACCTCAGTGTTCCCCCACATGGCGTCCCCCAGCAGAACAGCCTGCACTTCTCTGGCAGCTCAGGAAGGAAGACTGGCCTGAAATCATATGCCATCATATCTTACACATTCTGCTAGTGAAAGCAGGCCCCAGCCAGAATCAAGGGCAGGCATAGGAACTCACTTAGCCTGCACATCCTTGAGGGGTGGCGTCATGAGGCCAACCTTAGAGGCTAACCACCATATGCCCTTTGTTACTTGTGGGGCCGCAGATGTTGTGTTGTGGGGCAGCACAGATACATGGCATGGTGGCATTGTCCTGGCCCTGCCAGGTTTCTAACAGCCTCATTCATCTATAAAATCAGGTAGTGTTTGTTTCCCTTCTATTAGGGTGGTTTTGGCGGTTGACTGAACGGCACTTGGCCCAGTGCCTGGAACCCTGAAGTGCCTCAGAGCATGTAAGCTAGGAGAGGCTATGTCTAGAACTGATGAGGCTTTGCCGCAGCTTCTGTGATAGAGAAAGCCTTGCATCTCCTAGTTGACCTAGAATGCTTACACAGGTCAGGTCTCATCTGGCAAAAAGGAAGAAAGTGCCTTCATTACTAGTATTGGGGAGGAAGAATTTTTCTTCTGCCTTTCAAGATTCTTTTGGCCTGTCTACCAATTAAATTCACATGAGATGGATTAATGGGAGAAAATTTTAATTATGTCTATACAAGAGCCCTATAAGAATATGACATCCAAGGACAGGTCAGGCAATTGAGGCTTATGTGCCATCCTGAACTAGGGAATAGGATAGGGTTCTGGAGCTTTAAAGGGGAGGAGGATAATTCACAGGACAATGAAAAGAGTGGACGTTTGGTCATTAGATGTTTACCCTTGCATACAGAAGTCATTCTTAAAACCTTATGTTAACAGCTCTCTTTCTGGGCCAGACCCCGCATCTGAATTCTTTTAGATAGTTAAGAGAAGGGTAAAAGTTTTTCTTGAATCTGCTGGGTCTAGATTGTCTTTAGCTCAGAATAGTCCACATGACAAAGTGGCATAGTTTGGGGTAATGTATTTTACTTCCTCTCGGTCCTGTCTTTGAAATTTCCCTAGGAAGTTTCACAGTCCAGAAGTCAAGCTGCTAGATTGCTCCATCTCACTGAACCAGGCTCTTAGTCCCAATAATAAATGGGTTCAGTTAGACAGTTGTGTCTCATTTCAGGAGGCAGTGATGCAGGTGGGCTCCCAAGTTAGGCTTGTGGTACAAGAAATCAGGTATTTAATAAAAGGCATTTCTATGGAAATAAATCATGGTTAATGATTGGAACAGATTATAATCCCAGTTTTTGCATTCTGAAGGCATCCAGTTGACAAAGATTTCTAGATCTCTGGCTTGAAGCACCTTCAGACAGAGTGAGGGCAGGCAGCAGCAAACTGATAGGTTTTACTGTTGCAGTTTCAGTGTCTTTGGTAATCTTTCGGAGTGGTCAACATAGCAGGAGGCATGAAGATTATCTCTACTTGAGCTGCTGTGGTGATTTTTCTGAAGTTGTTATCAGAGCATCTAGCCTAGGTTGCATGACTTTGAAAAAAGGGCAGTTTTAGTTCTCAGTGATTCCAAGTCAGAGGGGTGAGAGATAAACTGGAAATATTATTTTGGAGAGTTACAGCCAAATATTGGAAGAAGGTAGAATAAGGAGGATCCAGTCCAATTAATAGGCAGAAAAGAAAACCTCAAAGACAGCAGGAGTAGAATCTAATACCCACAAGTGTATACTGTGGTTTCTACTGAAACATAATTTTTCTTTCTACAGTCTACTGAAGATAACAACAGTAAGACTAATTTGTTTGCAGATTAAGTCTAGTGTCAATAAATTTGGTTTGATTACTTGTATAAGTGCAGTAAGAATAGGGACTGGCCATTTAGGCTTTTTTTTTTTTTTTTTTTTTCCATTTAGGCTTTTTAAATTCTCTTTGCTGGAACTTTTCATAAGGAGTCTCAGATTGAAGTTCTTAAAAACTTCTTAAAGCCAGAAAGGCAATCCTTGGCCATCAGACTTAAACTGCCATACCTTTAGATTTGGGTGAATTCCTTTCTTCTGGAGATCCCGAAAATATCATGGGCTTCTGTGCCTGCCAGGAAAGGACCTTGTTTACTCACCTGGTAAAAATGCTGTGAATCCTGCGAGCAAGGTACCAGGCTAATTTTTCCAGGGGCTTCATTGGTTTCATAAAGTCACCCTTAGTTCCTTAAAGCTGTCTGGTCATATCTGAATTTCACACATCCTTCTCAAATATGACATTCCAGTCAAAGCCTTGGTAATATAACCGGCATTTGCAGTTGTGTCCTGGAGACACAAGGAGAATAGATTCCTCCTGAAGTTATGTATATAACTATATTGCCATGAAAATAAGAATATTCACTGTTTCCAAATTGTGGAAGGGTCAGGTAGAGAGAAAAAGCAATTGTTTCATCTTTGTTCACAAAGGTATATCTTACCAAATTGTTGATAGCTTAGGAAAAGAGTAAAAGGTTTCCTTCAATCTGGAAAAATGAAACAGAACAGGCAGTGTTTCAAACAAAAACTCATAAACATTATAATCCTCCTCCTCCATTTATTCAGTTCCATATGAGTAGTGGTTGTTCTCCTTAAATCCAGTTTTCCCTTTAGTTCTGGAAATTCTTACCCGGCCCAGTTTTATGGCCTTTAAGGTTATAAGAAACCTGGAGGTTTCTGACAAGTTTTTGACAAGTTCACTTGTCAAAAGTCCTTTTCTTAATTCTCCTTGAAGGGAAGTGCTTTTGCAGGAACACTTTTACCCAGAATCATAGCGATACAGTAACTGTAATTGACAAAAGACTTAAGATGCCCATTATTAAAGATATAATGAGAGTCCATTGTAGCAGAATTGACAAGTCTGGTTATTTCTGTGGTGTGCAGTATTTTAAGGTAATAGCTAGAATTATGACTGATAACATTATACCAGGGCATATCAGAATTTTAGGAATTTCATAAAATTTCTATAATTCTTATGTTAATAACATTTACCTGTACATTATTTTTTTTAAGGATTTTATTTATTTATTTGACAGATCACAAGTAGGCAGAGCAGCTGGCAGAGAGAGAGGGGGAAGCAGGCTCCCTGCTGAGCAGAGAGCCCAATGTGGGGCTTGATCCCAGGACCCTGAGATCATGTGAGATCATGACCTGGGCCAAAGGCAGAGGCTTAACCCACTGAGCCACCCAGGTGCCCCTTACCTGTATATTATCACCTAAGAAGGCTTACCATCACTTATTTGACATGCCTACCAGGTAATTCAACATACCAGATAAACTCAGTGTAACATCTCTTTTTGTAAACAGAGAGCACATATTTTTTTATTATTATTATGTTATGTTGGTCACCATACAGTACATCTTTAGTTTTGGATGTAGTGTTCCAAGACCCATTTTTTAGGTGTAACACCCAGTGCTCCATGCAACACGTGCCCTCCTTAATACCCACCACCAGGCTCACCCAACACCCCACCCCCTCCCTTCCAAAACCCTCAGTTTGTTTCTCAGAGTCCACAGTCTCTCATGGTTCGTCTCCCTCCTCCAATTTCCCCCGATTCACTTTTCCTTTCCTTCTAATGTCCTCCATTATATTCCTTA